TGTTCAGGGTATGGTGAAGGGGGGGGGGGGGCAAAGGGCATTTAACCATGAAAAGCCAGGAAGGGGCCCCATTGCAGCTGCGCCCTCTGATCTTAAACGGCTGCCAGGGCCCCTTTCCCATCCTTGGCACGCACCTGATCCTAACATTCCCTGACAACAGTGAGGATGATGCTGACGCATTCATAGGATGCATCTTCACTTCTTCCTTCTCTTGTCTGTAAATTGCCGGCACCACTTGTGGAAGGCTTTCATCTTGGCGGAGAGTGGAGGGAAGAAAAGGTTCTCCAGCGCCCGGGCCATCTCAATCTGCACACACACATACATCTCTCTGTCAGCGAGGGGCTCCAACAGGCATCCAGAGAGACGAGTGCCCAATCAGTATTCAGCGAGGGGCGCGGAGGGGATAGAGGCTTTTTATGCTGCAAATTCAGCTGACAAGTGGCGTCACGGCGAACCGGGGCTATCAGCGGCTGCCATCACAGAGGGCTCAGGGAAGAATGAGACGATTATCCCCCCCACCTCCCCCACCCCCTTAAACGATGAGCTCTGATTGCGAGATGTGTGCATGACGGATCCCAGGCGACAGGCCTCTTCACCGCGCTCAGCGCCTCTGTTTGCATATGCCGGAATCATGCCGGATTCTCACACACAGATACTGGAATAAAAAGGAATTCATGTGCACGGAGCGGGAGTGCGGGACGCAGGTGGCAGATCAGTGTCGGGGAGGGGGGCTATAATCAGGCTTGTTTCAGTGGCTGTGCCCATTATGAGGGGCTACCACCATCCCAGACCCGGGAACTCAGCACAGGGATGGTGGGAGCCCCTCATAATGGGCACAGCGGGGGTACAGACCCGGGAACTCAGCACAGGGATGGGGGGAGCCCCTCATAATGGGCACAGCGGGGGTACAGACCCGGGAACTCAGCACAGGGATGGGGGGAGCCCCTCATAATGGGCACAGCGGGGGTACAGACCCGGGAACTCAGCACAGGGATGGGGGGAGCCCCTCATAATGGGCACAGCGGGGGTACAGACCCGGGAACTCAGCACAGGGATGGGGGGAGCCCCTCATAATGGGCACAGCGGGGGTACAGACCCGGGAACTCAGCACAGGGATGGGGGGAGCCCCTCATAATGGGCACAGCGGGGGTACAGACCCGGGAACTCAGCACAGGGATGGGGGGAGCCCCTCATAATGGGCACAGCGGGGGTACAGACCCGGGAACTCAGCACAGGGATGGGGGGAGCCCCTCATAATGGGCACAGCGGGGGTACAGACCCGGGAACTCAGCACAGGGATGGGGGGAGCCCCTCATAATGGGCACAGCGGGGGTACAGACCCGGGAACTCAGCACAGGGATGGGGGGAGCCCCTCATAATGGGCACAGCGGGGGTACAGACCCGGGAACTCAGCACAGGGATGGGGGGAGCCCCTCATAATGGGCACAGCGGGGGTACAGACCCGGGAACTCAGCACAGGGATGGGGGGAGCCCCTCATAATGGGCACAGCGGGGGTACAGACCCGGGAACTCAGCACAGGGATGGGGGGAGCCCCTCATAATGGGCACAGCGGGGGTACAGACCCGGGAACTCAGCACAGGGATGGGGGGAGCCCCTCATAATGGGCACAGCGGGGGTACAGACCCGGGAACTCAGCACAGGGATGGGGGGAGCCCCTCATAATGGGCACAGCGGGGGTACAGACCCGGGAACTCAGCACAGGGATGGGGGGAGCCCCTCATAATGGGCACAGCGGGGGTACAGACCCGGGAACTCAGCACAGGGATGGGGGGAGCCCCTCATAATGGGCACAGCGGGGGTACAGACCCGGGAACTCAGCACAGGGATGGGGGGAGCCCCTCATAATGGGCACAGCGGGGGTACAGACCCGGGAACTCAGCACAGGGATGGGGGGAGCCCCTCATAATGGGCACAGCGGGGGTACAGACCCGGGAACTCAGCACAGGGATGGGGGGAGCCCCTCATAATGGGCACAGCGGGGGTACAGACCCGGGAACTCAGCACAGGGATGGGGGGAGCCCCTCATAATGGGCACAGCGGGGGTACAGACCCGGGAACTCAGCACAGGGATGGGGGGAGCCCCTCATAATGGGCACAGCGGGGGTACAGACCCGGGAACTCAGCACAGGGATGGGGGGAGCCCCTCATAATGGGCACAGCGGGGGTACAGACCCGGGAACTCAGCACAGGGATGGGGGGAGCCCCTCATAATGGGCACAGCGGGGGTACAGACCCGGGAACTCAGCACAGGGATGGGGGGAGCCCCTCATAATGGGCACAGCGGGGGTACAGACCCGGGAACTCAGCACAGGGATGGGGGGAGCCCCTCATAATGGGCACAGCGGGGGTACAGACCCGGGAACTCAGCACAGGGATGGGGGGAGCCCCTCATAATGGGCACAGCGGGGGTACAGACCCGGGAACTCAGCACAGGGATGGGGGGAGCCCCTCATAATGGGCACAGCGGGGGTACAGACCCGGGAACTCAGCACAGGGATGGGGGGAGCCCCTCATAATGGGCACAGCGGGGGTACAGACCCGGGAACTCAGCACAGGGATGGGGGGAGCCCCTCATAATGGGCACAGCGGGGGTACAGACCCGGGAACTCAGCACAGGGATGGGGGGAGCCCCTCATAATGGGCACAGCGGGGGTACAGACCCGGGAACTCAGCACAGGGATGGGGGGAGCCCCTCATAATGGGCACAGCGGGGGTACAGACCCGGGAACTCAGCACAGGGATGGGGGGAGCCCCTCATAATGGGCACAGCGGGGGTACAGACCCGGGAACTCAGCACAGGGATGGGGGGAGCCCCTCATAATGGGCACAGCGGGGGTACAGACCCGGGAACTCAGCACAGGGATGGGGGGAGCCCCTCATAATGGGCACAGCGGGGGTACAGACCCGGGAACTCAGCACAGGGATGGGGGGAGCCCCTCATAATGGGCACAGCGGGGGTACAGACCCGGGAACTCAGCACAGGGATGGGGGGAGCCCCTCATAATGGGCACAGCGGGGGTACAGACCCGGGAACTCAGCACAGGGATGGGGGGAGCCCCTCATAATGGGCACAGCGGGGGTACAGACCCGGGAACTCAGCACAGGGATGGGGGGAGCCCCTCATAATGGGCACAGCGGGGGTACAGACCCGGGAACTCAGCACAGGGATGGGGGGAGCCCCTCATAATGGGCACAGCGGGGGTACAGACCCGGGAACTCAGCACAGGGATGGGGGGAGCCCCTCATAATGGGCACAGCGGGTGTACAGACCCGGGAACTCAGCTCAGGGATGGCGGGAGCCCCTCACTCATGTTGGCAATCCAGTGCTCACCAGACCCCCTCACCAATGATGTGTTAGACCCTCGTCCCGGCTCTTCTCCATTCTGACGTCACTGTTTCATTGCTGCGATTGTATTTCACACCCGGGGAAGTAAACATTTCATGTGGTGAATGGGGGGAATTGGCCGGCCGTGTCCTCCACGTCGCGGCATTTCAAATAATAGCATAAATTCCGCTTACAAATGTGATCTATTTTTCTCTTTATAACGGATCATTGCGGAGAACAAGCAGAGAGAGTGTTTCCAGTCTATACGTTATCCATTATCCACAGCGAATGAGGCATTTACTACAAATCCATAGCTGTTATATGATCTCAGCCCCCCCCCAGACACAGATACAAGTATCACATTCTGAGGATGGCACACACCGGGGACGGTGGGCGTAGACTGCCATCTGTTGGCTGCCGGTAGAATGCAGCTCATCTCCCAGCTGCAGTGATCTCCCTTCCTGTCCAAGGACAAACAAGCGATCCGTCTGCCCGGGCTGAGGCCGCGGCGGCGCCGCTTTATAAAAGGAGAAACGCCGTTTCCAGGAGATCGCACTCCAGCAATATGGGGAAGGGGAATGCAATGACATGTATCAGGGGAGCCTTGTCGCCGGGTGACTTTCATGTACAGACAGTTACAGAGCCATTCGAGGAGGAGATTCGTCTTCACAATCACAGTGATCGGTGTTTTCTCCAGAAATCTGTTTTTTTTTTAAAGAAAGAGATAAAAAGATCAAAGTGGGAACAAGTTATAGAAATGAAGATTTGCCGTCTTGTAGGAAACATTTACATATGTGAGTTGTAGCTAAAAAATCTCAATGTGCTGTCTGGTATGTGAGGGGTCATGTACAAAACAAGTGGTGGCTTCCCCGCTGTACATTTAGTTCTGGTTGCCCAAAGCCGGGCTAAAAGTAGAAAACAACTACCCGCCCGGCGCCCGGAACTACATGTCCCGGGAGATAGGAATTCCACACCCCTGCTGCCCCGAGGCCGGGCCTTGGTTGGCCTTGTGGGAAATCCGGCCCTGCCTGTAGCCTCATAGCTGTATGTCTGCAGTGTGAGATCATCTAAGGCAGTGTTGCCCTTGACTGTTTCAGCAGATTTGGGGTGAGGTTTGATGATGTCATCACTGTGCTGCTCAATGTTCTCCTTGCTGGAGGGGAAGCTGTACCCGAGGACCTGCAGTGCCAGGATCTCCCTGCTTCTGCTTCATCCATTCTGTGGATCTGTGCTTCCTCCTCCTCTCCTGCTGCTTCTTCATCATAACTCCACCAGTCATCAGGGGGGCAGCTCTGACATGAGGAAGCAAAGCCCTGCCTCTACCAAGATGGCCGCCTCCACACAGAGACATGGTGCAGAACAAGCCATGGGAAATCAGTAATGGGGGGGAATTTCAGCTGCAAGGAGACCACAAGCAATACTGGTGACTGGTCCTTTATCCTTTGCGGGCCATTTGTGGGAGCAGCTTCCAGACTTCCGATCCGAACTCCAGGTATGCAAAAAGTTAACCCCTGCAAGTTGGGCTACCTCCATACGGCAAGGGTTAACTGCTAACTGATCCTCGATCCCGCCAGCCTGCTACACAGGTCCCGGCATCCTCTTCTCCCCTGGGCTCCGGCAGTCTAAGCCTCATGTCTAATACAATCCATTCACATGGAGGATGCCGAGGGACATACCACAGCCGAAGGGAAGGGCGGGAGAGGTGAGTGCTGAATCGGGTGAGTATATCTTCTTTATTCCGGCCCATAGAAAAAAAAAAGCGGTTAACCCTTGAAGTGTGTGTGTGTGGGACCAACACCCCCTCCTGCTGAGACACAATTCTCCAATCAGCAGGAAACATGAGCTTTGCTGGTTACAGAGCTTTAGGACTGACTCAGTAACGGGTGGGCTGGACCTCTGCAGAGAGACCACTGCTTCCATACAGAGCAAAGGTCTTACATGCTGGCAGGGGACGGGCTCTGCTACTCAGGCTGTGGCTGCATTCTAAAGAAAAGGACTTTCCAGTCCTGTTGTTTTGATGCATCTGGAATGTATTTAGCTGATTTAAACTGAAGGTTGAATTTGGCCTTGAGTCCCCCTCTTGGGAACTCAATAGCGGGGTGGCGTAGTGCAGGGGGTGCGGCCCGGGTGCCACCATTGGGGGGGGGTGACACCAAAATGTTAGTCATTTTGGTGTCACCCCCTATGGAAAGTCAGGCACTCGGTCACGGACTGAGAGCCCGACAGTGTCAGTAGAGAGGAGGGGACTCGGCGGCGTACCTCATCCTGCTGGGTAAACGTCCCCTCTCTGGCGGCATCCATCACTAAGATGGCCGCCGGCAGGAGTCAATAAGACGACCGTGCATGCGCGATGATCGCGCACGCGTGCAGCACCGTCACGGCGGGGTGTCATTCGGTCTCCGCTCCGGGTGTCACCCAGCCTCGGGACGCCCCTGGGTCCCCCCTAATGGCGCGGCACCTTAGCTACTATGAACAGATCGCAGTGCAGCGTCTTAGTATCTACGATCGCGCATGACCTGTGACTGCTGATCGGCATGAGCAGGCCGCGCACACAGGGAGATCGGCAGTACATGGACCGGAGTTCATTTGCGTGTCTCTCGCTTGCAGGTCCGCTGAATGTACAATATAATTACAGGGTACACCACTCGCCGCGTCGCCGCCGCCGCTGCCCGTATGACAAGGAGTGTGCTATTTGTTGTGTCACCGGGATGCTATTGATCTGGTGACAAAGTGGAACCATCACACGTCTCCGGACCGATCCACCCCGACCACAGGCTGGTATAGGAAGAGACGGACCGCGTGCAGATCGGCAGCAGTTGCCGCACTACAAGTCCCAGCAGGAGTATCATTCAGCTTCTGAAAACTGGTGCCGCTGTTTCTTCACATTTGCAGCAAACGTCAGAACCGATACATTGTATAGAATTGTATTGTTGTAGCTGATCCGTCACCTCTATGTATATGAGATTCAATGCC